CAATTGATTTTAAGGATGACACGCTGTATAGTCACATGCGTCAGTGGATATGGATAAAACCAAGAGAGAAAATGTTCAGTGAAACTAAATATGAACAGAAGTATAACAGACTTCCCCAGTTTTCATTGCAAAATGAAAAGAAATTTAAAAAGTCAAATAATCAGCATGGTCTTATTTTATAATTAGAAAAGTTACACCAGTTAAAAACATGTATTTCTGAAACAGCGTCCTCTTCAGCAGAGGATACAAAAATTATATATTTTGTCAGCTCTTGCCATCTCCAGAAGAAATTCCTTCACACTGAAACACCCAGACCCATTTTCCTTCGATTTCAACATGCCGTCTTTAGCTAGAAGCTAGACACGTGTGTCGTGGTGCTCACAGCGCCTGCCGCTCCCACCTTCCGAACGCATCTCCACGCACGCAAACTGAGCTTTTGCACTGCAATTTCCTTGTTCCACAGTAATTATTACACCCTTTAGGCAATCAGGCCTGCCTGGATGAGTGAAACGACCCCATTCTGTGGTCTCAACTTCGATGAGAATCCCTGTCAAAACACAAGCCAACATATTTACTTGCACATTAACCGGCCAAGTTTGAACCTCGGATTCCAGCAGCCCTCAAGAAAGGGCCCAGGGTAACGTGTCGAAAGTTTCTCAATTCTTCAGTCTCAGAGAAGACTACAGTTACTGACAAAGGCTTCTTGTTTTCAAAAGGTCCATCACATACCAAAGACAAACAAGACAAAACAAAGGATTGTTAATCTTCCTGAAAATAACAATGTTTGACAAGAAAAATAAGCTTTGAAACAATGCTCAGCCCCATGTTACACTGACTTGCTTTCTTGCTTCTGCACACTTCTATCTGGGCAATTATTCTTCATTTAAGATGTTTTCTCACATTCCCTGAAGTTTGCTTTAATAAGTTGCTATTTAATAGCATTTAGACCAAGAAGAGCAAAATAATTTGTATTTTAGAGCAAGCCGCAAGCCATTCAATACGGTTCATTATAGCACATATTGTCTTCAAAGACGCTTCACAACAGCCCTGTGGTATCCCCGTGAGGAATGCAATTCATGTACCCAACAAATAATTACGCAAAAGCACATTATAGCAGGACTTTACTGACTAGCACAAAGCAGTTACACAAACCCAACACCCAGGAGCTTGCCGTTCACAGCCCATCAATACTGAACAACCTTCTCCATAAGCACTGATCTTTAGTATATGTACATGACTAACAGCTTTATTTCTCACACAGATAGTCCTAACTTTAGAAGACTAATTTTTTTTTCTCTGCAACGATTCATAAAATAAAGTGTACATTTCCAGAAAAATCTCTTTCACATTAAATATCGCAAGACATTAGAATTTAAAACTAATATGCTGAATAGGCTTCATCAACTATTTTAACCTCTTTCGCAAGAAGTGCTGATTTAGGATAAGCCAATGCAAGTTTCAACGAGGGAAATTCTGGCTAGGTACAGGACAAAAAAGGTCACAGAGCAAGGGTGGTGCAATGCAGGACGCCTAGCAAGTCTGCAAAATCTCCATCCTCGGAGATACACAGAACTCAAGACAGATGGGGCCCTGAGCAACCTGATCTCATCTGGATATTGCAGCCCTGCTTTGAGTGGCATTTGACAAGATGACCTCCTAAATTATTCTGTAATTGTATGGCCATTTAGGGGATGCCCTTAGGCACATGGGAAGTATATTCACACCAGACGTGTCTTACTATCTGCTTGCTGCTTCTTACAGAAAGAGAGAACAGAACATGACTGGATAGAGACATAAGATCACTGTCGTTGAGGTATGGTGGACTGCACAGCTTTGAAAGGAAGACACCCACCACTTTGTTCAGTTTAACAGTGAGCCTAACTCTCACTGTTAATTAACCACAACCGTTGCAGGAGCGTATTCTTCCCCTCAGCCCTTCTGGGTACAATGCCTGCCCTGAAAGCAAGCAGCAGCAGAGAACCAATGCTGGAAACGTGCCTGCTGACCAGCACGCAAGAGCAGCTCTGGGATGCTTTCAGCCACCTAAAGTAGCAAGTGGTTTGGGGAAGAGATCTGAGAACCAACGGCAAGGACGGGGCCACACGACAAAGCCAAGCGTTTGAGTCACACAGCTGGACTGGAGATTTCAGTTTGTGCTCCCAAGGCAGCTTGTGCTTTTATCAGCAGAGCAGCAGGCACAGCACACACAACAGATTTCGAATAGGATTTACCAGACCAAGAAGTCACATCATGTAGAGAAAGCACCTACAAGGCGTTTTTAATTCAGAAAGTGCCATCATCTCCAGCAGAGAGATGCTGCCAAACAGGCAGTGAGTGGCACCTCGATTCTTTGCAAGGTTGCATCAGCCAGGTTGCAACACGTGCTTCCCAGCTCACTTTGCTTTTAAGTTGGGAAGAAAAAGAAAGTAAACAAAAAAAAAAAATCTAGCACTTCATCAATGGACTGTTGCCAACTCCCTCAACAACTACAACCACCAGGCCTCCCTCTCATCTTCGCTGAGTGTTATAACCATTAACCCTCTCCACTTTCACTCTCCCAGAGTCAGATCTCCTCCTGTCTGTTGGCCTGCTGGCCTTTTGCTGATCTCTGCTCTTGCATTTCTGGACGCGTTAAGGGCCAGCTTAAGAACTGCGACGGAGCACGCTCCCCGCCAGGACACCGAACTCCTTGGCAGGCAAGAGCTTGCTCTGAGGCTGTAGGTTCAGATCCCGACGGGCTGCAGAGGACCTAAATGCAGAGCCTCCACCTCCTAAACCACAGACTCTAGCTTCCACATGACCATAGGTGGGCATCTACGTCACTGCCATTAGTTCTGGTCAGAAAAGGCTTCGGGGTTTGACAAGAGCACACAACTATAACCCGGCACAGGAGATTTAAACCGTGCCCGAAGGCTGTCACAGACACCTGCCTAAGTGTGCTTACTGTGCAGCTCAAACCAGCATTTGTTTGTCCCCATTTGGAACAGGGGAACTCCAGCTGTGGTAAAGAGAGTAGAAGCACCTGATCATTGGCCCTGGTGACACAAAGTTGATCAATAAAGCTGGTTGGACTTAATGATCTTCGAGGTCTTTTCCAACCTTAATGATTCTACGATTCTATAAATAAAACTAAAACCGAAGAGCTCCGTTCAAGGCATCCTTTCAAAATTAACAGAAAGTAAGTAAATTAATTCTAAATCTTCATTAAAGTTCTGAACCCAGTTCAAATAACCAATGCCTGTATTCCTTCAGGTGACTGTGTTATGCACGGTACTGGTGAGCAAAGAACTCTGAGTAAGTTCCTTCTGAACCAGTAGTAATTTAACTCATCTTTAAATAATTTCCCAAACAGTTAAGTGCAACTCAAATGTTGCATCATCAGTGTGACAGAAAAAAAAAAATCTGAATAGTCTTTCGTAAGCAAATCCAAAACTAAGAGAAAACCCAAATCAAAGCATGGGTTCTCTGACTGCTTGAGACCTTCTATTCCTCAATCTCAGAAACACAGCTGTAAGATACTATTAAAACAAACTAAACCTAATTCAAGAAACTATTTCCTATACCCTAATTTAAAATTTTAAACAAATCTCAAAAGAGAGGACTATATCCTCTACGAAATGTTCTGCTGACTTAAAAAAAAAATCTGAATGTTAACATAACCACACTAAATCCAATAAACACGAAGAGAGAAAAAAAATTGCAAGCAACATAGTTATTGCTTATCTAGGAAAAAAGCAAGTTAGGATAAACAGGAATTTTTTTTTTATCCTGATGACATTGCCCTTTCAAAGTTCCATCACCAACGTCCCATTGACTGCCAGTACAGTTTAGGCCTTGAAGCGCTTCTGTCGCTTTTACAAATAAAGATGAGGTTATTTCCAAAAGGTTACCCAGAATAGCTGTTTTTCCATTTAAAGGAACCATTCGCTGTGCATTTAACTGTAGGCATCCCAAAAGTCTTCGTGCCATATCCCTTCCCCCACTACCTTAAGTCCACTGTCTGAGCCTAACACTCATCTCATCGGACTTTATTATGATTGGAAGGTCACTGCAGCAAGAAGCATCTCTAATATTTATTTGGATGATGCCTACTACACACTTTCAGGCTGTGAGAAATATGTTGTAATTCCACCAGGTAACAAGAAATAGTTTAAACTGACAATAGGTATTAACAGTCGATGGATATAGGGAGGTGATTCTTCCCCTTTACTCCGCTCTCGTGAGACCCCACCTGGAGTCCTGCGTCCAGCTCTGGAGCCCCCAACATGAAAAGGACATGGGTGTGTTGGAGCGGGGCCAGAGGAGGCCACGAAGATGATCTGAGGGCTGGAGCACCTCTCCTACGAGGACAGGCTGAGGGAGTTGGGGCTGCTCAGCCTGGAGAAGAGAAGGCTCCGGGGTGACCTTAGAGCAGCTGCCAGTGCCTGGAGGGGGC